AATATAGCCAGGCCAATTCCTCGCTTAAATCGCTTTATAAGACCCTATCGGCTTTTGATGCAAACGATCGAGTTTATCTTTAGGCGGGGCTGATAACAAGTTGGCGCGTTCAGTGTGTATCAAAATGTTTATTGGGACGGTTTCTGACTGGATTTTGCTGCAAATTATGCACAACACCTGTCGAGGTTCCAGACCGATGTGTCAGATGTGACTTGGTGTTAAATCAGTGGTATCATTGCTATCGCTTTACATGTCCTGTATTGAATTGTCCCATATCACAACATGTAAAGAACCCGAAGCGGTAATAAGTTTTTTTTGCTTTCTACTAAATTAGCATAAAAATATTTGCTCAGTAAATAGGAGCATATTTTAATCATGATTACGACTGCCAGTAAGAAAGCTGTTCACCAGGCGATGCATCTTTAGCCGAAGCAACCGGAAAAGTTACAAGTTGCTTGGTACAAGCATATTTACTTCCTGGCCGAGATAGAAGTAGCTGTAAACTTCCCCTAAGTTCACACCGTCTATCTATAATCTTGCTGGGGGCATACCGACAATATGCATCACCTCCGTCTTCTCTAGGTACTCGAGTGAGAAGATTTAATAGGGTACACCAGTAACACTGCCAGCTATTGTTTATTGTTTGTGCCAGTGGTCACTTGCATAGCTTCCGAATGCTTTCACTTTTTACAGGGAGTGAAATTTGGAAGAATTACTTTTGGTATAATAAATGAACTCAACTTCTACAGATTTTCAGATGCTGTCCGGAATGTAAAACTCACAAGGTCATCGCAGGGAGCATGAATTTGACCGCTCTGCGTCGATTGCAATGCAAATTTCGCAGAATTCATTATCAGGTGCACGACACGTTTCGTGTAGATCCATGTACACGCTGTTCCTGTCAGCATGGCGGAATTATCTGCCGGAGGTTTTCTTGGAAATTGCATATAATAATAACATGTTCTTTAAATTTCACATTTCGATACCATATATACTTTGTCACTTGGTTTTATCAATACATCAACTTCTCCTTTCTTCTCTGTTTTGAGCTTCCCTCAACTACACTGCAACACGGACTACTTCCGAGTGCCTGCGTTTCTTGCAAAGAGTGAATACAAAGGGAATTTTGATTTTTGACTTTGACTCAAGCCTGCCCATTTGGTCATTTTTTTATGCAGACAGATTAAATAACCATAACTAGAAATTATTGTATGAATTATTAAAAGTACGAGCAGTCGGACGACCTTTGAAAACATTTCATTAATATATGAAACCAAGATGTTCAATGATAAGAAGTAATTAGCCTTGTCTGCAATAAGCATGTAGATGCGTTTAAATAAC